GGGGGGGGGGGGGGGGGGGCCCTCGCGAACGTTTTGCCCAGGGGCCCACACAACCCATAATCCGTCCCTGACCACAACCCTGTCATGCATAAACAGTTATAGATGATGGATTTATTGGTATGTATTATAGATGTTATAGATGATATTTGGTATTCATTAGTGCCTTCACACGTGCTCTCTAGTGACACTGCTGACAAGGAGAATAATTACTACAGTTTGAGCGGAGACTGGTTCACGAAAGACACCTTTTTAATCACAACTTTGTGAGTGATGGTGCACAGGCATGTAGACTTGTTACCTAGAACCAATCATATACTTAATTCCTTTTGTAAGCATTTTCTGATTTGCTCATTCAATTTTTAAAGTGTTTTTCCCCCACAGTCATGTTTGTGAAGAGTTCTGTATTATTTTACTATTGTAGGAAAATCCTCAGAGGGTCTATGACAGGAGGATTGAACAGAGTTTCATACTGTGGTTCCGCTCTCAGTGAAACAAGGGAATTGGGCCAGATAAACCAAGACTTTGGGGGGGGCGACACAAAGTAACACTGAAGGTTCAGCAGGGAACATATCACTCTGCTGAACGCAAAGGGCCCTGTGGCCCAGGTTACCGGAGCAAGACAGAAGGGAACACACCAGAACATCTGGAACACCGAGAACCAGGGAGAGGCGGAACAAACTCGCAGGCATAATCTCCCAAGTTCCTCTGACATTTGGGTCTACCTTTCAGAGTGGCTGTGTGCATGTAGCTGAATTTTTCCTCAGTGGTGCACCGTCCCCCATATATCTACATGAAAACCATTCTTGACAATTTTATATTCAGTGTGTTTATTAAAACCGGCAGTGTTTCGGAAAGCAAGGTGCCCCTGATTACGGTGTACTTTTCCGCAGTCCTGGCGGCCGGCCTGGTTCGACAGCCCTCCCGTCTAGCTTTTACTCTCCGTCCTTATAAATATTTGCCCTGCCCGTTTCAATCGAACAGCTACCGTCACAGATAAAATGGCAGCCTGACAGCTGCCTCGAAATATTCCCCAAACACGAGAGCTTAAGGTTCCTCCTCAAAGTGTCTTTCCTTACTTTAGCCCATTAAAGAAAGCTGGACTGTTAATCGCGGTCTCGGGTTCGACAGTGACACTTTTCCTGTCGATAGAAACTAGCTTCACTTTCAGACATTTTCTTCTCTGCTTTCTCCATTAGCGGCCCCCAAAGCCCCCAAACTTCTCATGACCCCACCGAGGGCCAAGGTAGGGGACACGGTGCGCATCGCCGTCCAGGGTTTCCAGGTAGGA